CGGTCATGTGAAAACAATTCGCGTCCAGTCTGATGGGAGCAAGGGGTCAGCTCACTGACAGCGAGGAATGAAAGCAAAACCGCTGTCCGCTCTCCTTTTGTGCAGTAACTTGAGCACGAGCAGGAGGACTCTGAAAGGTGCTCCAGCTTCAGGAGAGGATGAAGGGTCTGTGACTGGGACAGTGAGGGGAACAGGAGGTCAGCACATGGAACCTGTGCTTCAGTTTGGCCACCCGTAATATGGGGAAAGTAACGCCTCCCACCTGTGTCGCGTACCCTGAGATCTAGGGGTGCGAAAGTTCTCTAGACGGGCTAACTGCAATTAAGATCTGAAGCTTGCACAATTTGGTTAGAGAGTCCAAGGACCCTGAGGAACAGACCCGGTTACCCCGTCGAGGTCTGACAGTGGCACATCCCTGCTGATGTGTTGGTGTTTTGAACCGTTCCATTCTGTGCTGGGATACCGTCGATGCTGGGACCAGAGCCTGCCACAAGATGGCAGCCCAGCAATGCTAACCAGAAAGCCAAACCACCGGGAAACCTCAGGTTGGGAGCAGTGAGGGGCATGCCTGGGAAAAGCCCAGCTACCCTCCCGCTACATCCACCTTCTCTCCACACTCAATCAGTCCAAACTCTAGCTGCTGAAATTGGCTTCCTCCCCACCTGTTCCAACCATGCTGCCATCCCTGAACTCCCCCCATTGATTCCTCCCTCTTACTGTAACCCCCACCAGTACCCACCCGGTGGTATCCCCCGCCTACGTCTTTGTTCTAGTTTCCTCTCCTGATCCCCATACCTCTCCTTCTGCCTCCTTTCCCCATTCTCGTCTTCATGCTTTTTTTGTCCTATTGGCTGTCTCCGAGTCTGAGATCCTTCCAATCCCTCCTTCAGCACCCACCCCTCCAAGCAATCTCTTCTCCTTGTCCCAGGTTCCCTCCCCTGGAAACCTCTGCCCCATGTCTTGTCTCCCCTTTGATCTTGTCTTATTCTGCTTGCAAGCTCTTTGCAGGGTCCGTGTCTCCTCTGCATTTGTAAAGTGCCATGTCCGCTTAGGGGCTGTATGGAGACAGGCAATAAGGGCACCGACTGGGAGCCTTAATCCTATCATACGTTCGTGTTCTGCCACTCTCCTCACTGGGGAGGAACTGGGGATGCCCAGCCACTTAGCCAACGCCTCCTCACGCTCAGAATGGGAATGCGTGACTAAGGAATTGGCCATATGCACCATACGATGTGGCTTTATTTGTCACCAGGCCTTTCCTACAAACCACACCGATTGTGCCAGGTGCTATACCCATGTATTGTAAACGACACCCCCGGCCTCACACCCGCAGCTGGGGGTGCAGTCGGTGGGGCAGCGAGTGACAGCAGCTGGAGATCTGGTCTACTCTGTATTATGGGGGATGCGGGAAGGAGAAGGGGGCTGTTTGGGGTTGGATTGGAGGTGAGAGAGGCTGAGGGGTGTTTTGGAAGGCAGGTGCTGTAGAGGAGAGCGCTCTTGTGTCCGGGCTGGAGCTGGGACTAAATGCAGATGTCAGGGGAACTGGCTGGGGGTGGGGGTGTTGTGGCATGTCCCTAGGCAAGGAGCAGCATTCGGCATGTGCCGGAGTCTAGAGAGCTGGTAACTGGGGTCCTGTAAGGAAGGGAATCTGTGCCTCAGGAGTGCAGTGTTCCTGCTGTGACTGCAGAGCCGTGGTCTCACTCTGATGCAGCAAGCGACGTGGGTGCGAGCCAGCTTTCTCACATGCCCCCCCCTACCTCCCGGCAGGTTCTGAGACGCCCCTGGCAGACATGGCTCTGGACCTGCTGCATCTGCTGCTGATGGATCGCTGGAGCTGGCTCTGCACTGAGAACATGCAGAAGGTGCTGCACCTGCTCTTTGGGTCCCTGATTCAAAGGTAAGATCTCTGCAGCACTCCACATCCCCAGGGAGGAGAGAGCTGAGCTGAGCACATGCAGCCCTGGGTCGTTTCCCTTTAGAGACAGGAAGGACTGATCCATAGCACTAGGTGCCCGGCTCTTGGAGTGGGAGGTTTTGTCCCCGGCGGGAAGGGCAGCATGTCCACTGAAGGCTGCTTCCTGGCTGTCCAGTGGGTGCTCTCAAAGGGTCATGGATCCATCTGGGTTGGTAAAAGCAACAGCCACCCCAGTAGGAATACGAGGGAAGTTACGTTAGTGGAGGATAGTGGCTACTAATCTCCCCAAGCATTAATGAATTTAGTCTCCCAATACCCCAGGGAAGTAGGACTCCCAGCCTCCACTGACACGGGCTCCCTCTCAGTAAGGGGCAGGTCACAGCTGTGCCTTGTCTGATGTTCCAAAAAGGAATGCACGCACTGTCCCTGAGCAGGGTGTGTTTGTAAACCTCCCTCCTGCAATGCCACGTGTGCGTGGCTGGTTCGGGATGTGCCAAACCTTCCCTAGTCTGGCTGGCTCAGAGCCCCGTCCTTGGCTGGCGTATGCATTGAGCGAGGGCTCACTTTTCTTGTGCAGTGGTAGCAGCTTGGCTGGACCTGCCGCACGTCCTGCAACCGTGTGTCCTTAAAAATATGGCTCCTGCTGTGTGAGCTGGGAAAAAGGGGGTCATTTGCTTGGCTATTAGCTTGGTTACATGGAGTGGCTCTTCTCGGACCATCTCCCTTTCCCAGGAGGGATGCCTAGGGCCAAATCCTCAGCTGATGTCAATCAGTTAATGCACTG